GTCGCCAGGCCCGAGAGCCCGGCCAGGACCTGGTGGTGCTGCCCCTGACCATCACTGCGGATTTCATTCCTTCCTTCCGCCTGGTGGCCTATTACACGCTGATGGGTGCCAGCGGCAAGAGGGAGGTGGTGGCGGATTCTGTGTGGGTGGACGTCAAGGACTCGTGCGTGGGCACGGTGAGCATCCCCGCGGCTCCCCCACCCTCCGCCTTTCCTCCTCTGGGTCCGGCCTGGACTTCCCCGTCCTCGGTGCCCTCCCAGGGCTCACTGCTCCTTCCTGCTCCTCCCACCTCCCTGCAGCTGGTGGTCAAAGGTGGTGGGAAGGACGACCGGCAGCCTTTACCTGGGCAGCAGATGACCCTCAAGATAGAGGGTGACCGTGGGGCCCGAGTGGGGCTGGTGGCTGTGGACAAGGGCGTGTTTGTGCTCAACAAGAAGAACAAGCTGACTCAGAGTAAGGTGGGCGGCTGTGGCTGAGGCTGGACCCAAGACCACGGAGGCTCAGGGATGGCGTGGGGTGGAGCAGGACCGGGATCAGAGAGCATGAAGGAAGGGGCGGGGGTGGTGGAACAGACGTCAGAGTGGACACACAGGGTGGGGTGGTGAGATGGAAAAGCAGTCCAGCTTGGGGAAGGTCATGGTCAAGGTCCAGCTTGGGGAAGGTCATGGTCAAGGTCCAGCTTGGGGAAGGTCATGGTCACGGTCCAGCTTAAGGATGGTCACAGTAAGATCCAGTTTGGGCATGGCCCTGTGTACTCTGGGGCCATCTGATGTGGAAGCCTAGGGCATGGGGTGAGGCTAGAGAGTGAGGAAGGAGTGAGCTGGTCAGGGCTTGGAATGAAGGTGTAAATGCAAGTGGGGTTGGAGGTGAAGGGGTCAGGTGAGGAGTGGGGCCAGGCATAGGTGGGGATGGAGCTGTGGGTGGGCTGGAGTGGGGTGGGGTGGGTGGGAAGGGCTGCGTGGACTGTGGGGAGCTGGTGCAGGCGATGCTGTCCTGCCTGTCCCTACCTGGCCACCCACCCGCTGCAGATCTGGGACGTGGTGGAGAAGGCAGACATTGGCTGCACCCCGGGCAGTGGGCAGGACTATGCTGGAGTCTTCATGGACGCAGGGCTGGCCTTTAAGACCAACACAGACCTGCAGACAGCCCAGAGGACAGGTAGGGGCAGCGAGGGGCTGTGGAATGGGGCACCTGGTTCAAGTCCCGCCTCCACCAGCCCCGCCAGCAGGCTTCTCCCTGAGCCTCAGTTTCTTCATCTGTCCAATGGAAACAGCCACACGCCAACTTGCGGCTGTTGTGAGGGGTGATCCCAGGGCGCACAGTAGGTGCTTTACCCAACCTCTTCTTGGTCCACCTGCCCCTCAGAATTGGAGTGCTCCAAACCTGCTGCCCGCCGGCGTCGCTCCGTGCAGCTCATGGAAAAGAGGATGGACAAAGGTGGGCCCTCTGCCTGCCCTTCCCCACCACCCGCCCGGGGCCTGGCCATCTGGGCCCCAAGGTGACCTCCCAGGAGCCACAGAGGGAGGAGGGGAGGGCTGGCCCCGGGCACTTCTTCCTGGTCTGCCCTGGGCTCTCCTGGGTGGGGGCACCTGGCCAGGGCTCTGCCTGAGCACGTCTGGGCTCCCACAGCGGGTCAGTACAAGACCAAGGAGCTGCGCAGGTGCTGCGAGGACGGGATGCGGGAGAACCCCATGGGCTTCCCCTGCCAGCGCAGGGCCCGCTTCATCTCCCTGGGCGCCTCCTGCGTGCAGGCCTTCCTGGACTGCTGCAGCTACATCACCCAGCTGCAGCAGCAGCACCGCCGCGAGGGCCTCCTGGGCCTGGCCAGGAGTGAGTCCCTGGGACAGGAGCAGGCCTGCCTGAGGGAGGGGGAGGGCCTTCTGGGGGAGGGGGAGGTCCATTCTGAAGGGGGAGGGGAAGGTCCTGTCTGAGGGAGGGGGAGGTCCTGTCTAAGGGGGAGGGGGAGGTCTCCAAGGAGGGAGATACACATCCCCATGAGGTGCAAAAGCTCCTATTCTGGAGTCTGAAAAGGACCAATTCCTCCCTAAGGGCAGAGGGGTCCCTTGTGAGGGGAGAGGAAGGAGGCCCTTCCATGAGGGCTCAGGCTCTCAGGTGTGAGGGAGAAGCAGCACCTCATCTAGTGGTGGAGCCACCTGGGGTGAGGGAAGAGGTTCCCGCTAGGAAGATGGTCCCAGTCCTACGGAGTCAGTCTGAAGTCACACACTGTGCCCAGGACCTCAGTGGTAGGAGAGAGGGTCCCAGATGATGGGCTGTCCACACCGGGTGCCAGTGGGAAGGCTCAGAAGGATTGAAGTTTCCTTCACCCAGGGAAACTGGTCTGTGCTGTGACCCAAAGCCTGGCGCCAAGTCAGGCCACCTGGTGGATTAACAAGCAACTTTGATCCATCAAAGGCCTCATTCATGCTTTCCTTCATTCAGTTTTTTTTTTTTTTTTGAGAATTGTAATATTTATTTTTAGTTCTCGGCGGACACAACATCTTTGTTTGTATGTGGTGCTGAGGATCGAACCCGGGCCGCACGCATGCCAGGCGAGCGCGCTATAGCTTGAGCCACATCCCCAGCCCTTTCATTCAGTTTTTAATGAGACAAAACGTGTAGTCAGCTCTGTGTCCACAGATACACACATGCAAATCATTTGGTTAGGGTTTGGGTTGAGGTTTAGTTTTTTTTTTTTTTTTTTAGCCCTTGGAAGGAGTAGTCCAGAATGCAGGTGGGTCCAGGCATCTATGGGATTCCACCTGCTTACTGTGATGCAGATGCAGAGCCAAACTAAGATCTGTCCATCACGTTTGAGGAAAGCCCAGCCAGGGTGGAACCTAGTCCTGTCCAGCTGTATTTACTTGCTGAGGGTCAAGCTGGTTGTTCAAGGCCACCACTTCTTCAGTGGTCCCCGCAAGGTCTGGGGAGCTCTCCAAAGGGCTGGTGGCATTCAGAATTAACAGATCCTTGGATGCAGGGGCCCTGATCCTTACGGAGGTCCATGCCAATGTTTTCCTTTCTTTGAAAATCAGAGGAAGGCAAGGTTATATTTATCTTGATAGCAACACATTTATAAATAGAATTTTTAATTTTTTTTAATGGAGTAAGGACTCCAGAAAGGTAACTGTGCCTGGGCCCATGAAGAGCCACAGCATGCCTCTGGGTGCGTTTCCCAGCTAAGAGCCCCCACAGTGCAGAGGGAACAGTGTGGGAGGTGGGCTGCCCTAAGCCAATTCTCACCCCGTCAGGTGACATGGATGAGGACATAATTCCAGAAGAAGACATCATTTCCAGAAGCCAGTTTCCAGAGAGCTGGTTGTGGGCCATAGAAGAGTTAAAAGAACCAGAGAAAAACGGGTATGGCCAGGGTGCCCCTGCCCACCCCTGCCACCCTCTGCCGACTGCCACAGCTCCCCACACTGCACCAGGGTGACCTTCCGTCTGTACACACCTGCAACCTCCCATCTCTTCTAGAGCCACTGTGAACCCACATCCCAACCTAGGAAAATCAAGAGCTGGGTCACCCCACGTTCCCTGCCCCCCAGGCCTCGCCCTCCTCCCTGCTGGACGTCTTCTAATGCCCCCACTTCTCCCAACCCAGAATCTCCACGAAGGTCCTGAACATCTTTCTGAAAGACACCATCACCACTTGGGAGATCCTGGCTGTGAGCCTGTCGGACAAGAAAGGTGAGGGAGAGTCCGGGCCCTGGGCACCTTCCTGTCCCAACAGACTCCCCGGGTGGGCTGAGCGGCCCCGCTTCCCTCTGTCCTGGCTACTGCATGGCTTCAAAGGCCAGACCCGGACACTTAGTCTCCAAAATTGGTATTAAAAAAAATAGATTTCATTTTTTAGTGGGAATTTTAAGTTCACAGAAAAACTCAGCAGAAAGAACAGAGAATTTCCCTACCCACCCCCCGCTATAGTTTACTTTTATTTGCACTAGTCTTCACAATCCATTGTGCATTTCCCTTTAGCATCTCAGAACTAGATTTTCACTGGGAATATTTCGATCTGTATCTGGGTTTCATGATGTTCACAGTTGAATAGGCAAATTTTCAAGCCCAAGTTGTTGCAAACATACTTAAACATTTCCCAGTCACTGAATCTAGCATTGCTTTTTTTGTGAATTGAGATTTAACTCACTCATAAAAATCCCCCTTATAAATTGTGCAGCTTATAAGCTTTTCTATATTCACAACATCTATCCTCAACTGTTAGCTTTCTAGTTTAAATCTGATTGAGATGGAATAAGTGTAAATAAAAGTTAATTAAATGAAAGTAAAAAACAGCCCCACTCCAGCCAGCCACATCCGCAGCTCTGGGTGATCCCAGGAGGCTTTAGGGTACCTGGTTGGAGGAGCAGATATATTTTGGAGACCCGCCAGTTAGTTAGGCTGGCTGTCTTCATACACATGCATCTAAAAGTCAAACTGCAAAGAGAAAGGAAATCATCAAATGATAAGGCCACTTCCTGCCCCTCCACCATCTAGAACCCATGCCTTGACCAGTGTTTAGTCTGTGGGCTTCTGCAGAGTCAGGTGCAGCTTGGGCCAGCTCCCCTGGTTGAGGGTGAGAGCCAGGACTATGGAAGAGGCAGCAACTTGAGTTCAAGCTACAGTTCCCTTTGGGTTGGCCCACCCTGCCCTTCCCGTGCCCTTGACATTGGTGCTGTCTCTGTGCGGACAGGGATCTGCGTGGCAGACCCCTACGAGGTCACAGTGATGCAAGACTTCTTTATCGACCTGCGGTTGCCCTACTCTGTGGTGCGCAATGAGCAGGTGGAGATCCGAGCTGTCCTCTTCAACTACCGCGAGAAGGAGAGTCTCAAGGTGCGCCCTGGGGAGGGGGCAAAGGCCTGGGGGTGTGATGGGGGACGCCCTGTTGCGCACCTGCGCTGACACCTCCTTCCCTGGCAGGTGAGGGTGGAACTGATCCACAACCCAGCGTTCTGCAGCCTAGCCACCGCCAAGAAGCGCTACTCCCAGACTATAATGATCCCGCCCAAGTCCTCGGTGCCAGTGCCCTATGTCATCGTGCCCTTGACCATAGGGCTGCAGGAGGTGGAGGTCAAGGCTGCTGTGTACAACCACTTCATCAGCGACGGTGTCAAGAAGACCCTGAAGGTCGTGGTGAGTCCTTTGTGCATCCGCTGTCCCTTGTCCTTCAGGGAATGTGCCTGTGCTCCATACTGCTGATCCCCGGTGGGTGACTCAGGCTCTGAGACCCTAAGAATCATCACAAGCCAGGCTTAGTGGCTGCTCCCGTGATCTCAGCGACTCAGGAGGCTGAGGCAGGAGGAACCCAAGTCCAAGGCCAGCCTCAGCAACTTAGTGAGAACCTGTATCAAAAAAAAAAGGGGGGGGGGCTAGGGGTGGAGTACCCAGTACACCCCCATCCCTGCCAAAAAAAGGAATCATGGCAGTGTCCAGCTTAGAAATTTAGAAGTCTCAGATATTTGGAGGCAGAGCCAAGATTAGTGTAATGTGACTGAGATAAATCAGGCACAGAATTCTTAAGGATGCCATAATGTCAGTCATTAAGATCAATAGTATTTTCATGCAATAATTTTATTATGATGACTGTTATTATGTTAAATGATGTTTCCTCTTATTCATTATTTTTGTAGTTGGTCATAATACCTTTATTTTTTATTTATTCTTCTGTGGTACTGGGGATTGAACCCAGGGTTTTGCTTGTACTAGTGAGCACTGTACCGCTGAGCACTGAGCCACAACACCAGCCCTCCTCTTATTCATTTTTAATTTCAATTTTATGATGGTAAAATAGACATAACAGTTGCCACTTGAAGCATGTTTAAGTGTACAGTTCTGTGACATTAAGAGCATTTATATTGTGGTGCACCAACACCACATCCACATGCTGAATCCTTTCCTATTATAAAACCAGAACTCTATATTGTTTTCCATGTGATATTTTATGGAAGAAATCAAAATGAGGGCTGGAGGTACAGGCTGAAGGTGGACAGTGTATGCACAAAGCCCGGGTTCTATTCCCAGAACCGGGGGAGGAAAAGAAATCCCAGTCAGGCGTGAAACCTCTCACCCTAGCAACTCAGAGGCTGAGGCAGGAGGATCACAATTTCAAGGCTACCCTCTACAACTTACCAAAACAAGGTCTCAAAAAGTTTTTAAAAGTTGGGCTGATGCAAATATGCTCAGTGCTTAAGTGTGCCTAGGTTCAATCCTCATTACTAAAAAAGAGAGAAAGAAAGAAATCCAAATCAATGACCAATAAAGGGACAGTAAATGAAATATCAAAATTTAATTTAAAGCAGACGAGATCCCACATTGTCAAGCCAAGGCACGTGACACACACTGACACAAAAGGAAAAATTAGTGCCCTCTTTACATTTGTATTTTCCCTCTAATGGTTAATTTCTTCCAAAATGTTAAAGATGTTGGGAAAACAATTAAAACATTGAAAAGCTGCTGCATTCAAGTAGACAAAGTAATTTTACATGGAAATGGATTTCGGCCCAAGCCAGACTCAAGTATCATTCATATTTTCAAGCTTTTATGGAAGCAAACTTATATTTTTACCAATTGTTTTAAGGCTCTACAATAAAATCTTCTTTTAAAAGTACATAAACTCATAGTGAGGGTCCCACGTTCCTTCTGCCCCACACTGGATGGCTGTGAGTGGGCAGAAGCGCCAGGCCTGGCGGGGGCCTGCCTGTGCAGCTCCGGAGAGCAAAGCGACCAGTCTCCCCAATTCCACGTGCCCTGATGTTGGCGGCCTGAAATGGATCATGGCAGCATACTCACAGCCTACCAATAGGGGCTTTGCCTTCCTTGGACATGTGTCAGCAGCTCCCTGGGGAAAACTCAATCTCCAGACAAAATCTGGCTTTTATTACCAGTGAGGGGAGACGGGGTCCTGGGAAAGAAACTGCTGTCCACATGGAAGCCTTTTGTGTACACACAGATGGGGGCCTGGGTTGGACTTTCAGTACTAGCTAAAATAGCCCCTGTTTCATGAGCCCTCGCTATGTTTCAGGCCCTGTGCTGCTTACTTTGTGCATATTCTTTTATTTAAGAGATGCGTAGATGGCAATGGGTTAAACACCCAGACTCTGGAGCCAGGTGACCAGATTTAAACCTCAGCCCTGTCCTACTAGCTGTGTGACCTTGAGCCAGTCATTTCACCCCTCTGGCATCCCAGTTTCCTCATTTTGTAAATAGGAGTCATCTAGCCCCAGCAGGAATCATGAGGACCAGCGTGGTCAGGATCCGGCTTCATGGGAAGCTGCTGTACGATAAACATGCTATTCCTTGCTGCTGAACAGAGGACTTCACAGCTAAGCTTAGGCAGGGTTTTGTTGTTGTTTTGTTGTTGTTGTTTGTTTGTTTTCTTTTTCATTGAAGTACTGAGGCTGGAGCCCAGGCTTGGTGCCTGCCAGGCAAGCTCTCCATCACTGAGCTGCACCCCAGCCCTACAGCAGTTTTCGATCTAGTTGAGGCTTCACATTCTAAAATGATTCTCTTATGATATTACCTTAGTGAATAAAAGTTGCCCAAATGAACATTTAAAAAACATTTTTGAGAAATCCTCTCTTGTGTTGTCCCTAATTCTGGGGGTGCTTAGCCAAAGCACCTCCCTCCTCCACTCCCTCTGTGTCCTCAAACTTCTGGCCTCAAGGAATCCTCCCACCTCAGCCTCCTGAGTAGTTGGGCCTATAGACACACCACTGTGCCCAACCACGACTACCTTAAGTATCTCTACTTAAGTCTAAAAGGTTTTAAATTACAGAGAACGTGAGTGATGATAGCTCTGCTAGTCAGCTTTCTGTCACTATAATGGAATACCTGTGGTAACTAACTTTTGAAGAGAAGAGGTTGATTTTGACTCAGGATGTTGGAGGTTCCAGTCCATGATCAGGCAGATCCAGTGCTTTCAGGCCTCGGTGGGGGTGGGGTGGCTCATTGCTGTGGAGTGTGCAGTGAGGCAGAATCCTTCACCTCCTGGCCAGGAAGCAAACAGAGCAAGGAGGGTCTGCAATCCCATTATCCCCTTCAAGGGCACACCCCAGTGACCTAAAGAGCTCTCAGCAGACCCCACCTCTAGCAGGCTGCATCTCCTCCCAATAGCACCACCCTGAGACTCAGCCTGCATTGCACGGGCCTTTAGGGGACGTTCAATATCCAAACCATAGTGAAAGCAGCACCCACCCCATTGGATTGTGAGGATCCAGTGAGCTAGCCCAAGTAGTTTCTCAGCACATGTGAAGATTTCACACTTTTTCGTCATTGATGTAGAATTGTCTGATGAATTTGCACAAGATCTGTGTAAGGTATGACCCTCTGCTAGAGTCATCCTCATGACAGTGGCTTGCTGACCATCTGTGTGTCTGTCCTTTTCTTCACTGGACTTCCTCCCCCTCCCAACACCGCATAGCCCGAAGGAATTAGAGTCAACAAAACCGTGGCCATTCGCACACTGGACCCAGAACACCTTGGGCAAGGTGAGCCATCAGCCGGAGAGGGTGTGGAGCTACAGCCTGGGCACAGTGGTGCCGGGCAGGGGAGAGAGGGGCTGGTGCCGTCACATCTCTCCCCTGCAGCTGGCGTGCAGAGAGAGGAGGTGCCAGCCGCAGACCTCAGTGACCAAGTCCCAGACACTGATTCGGAGACCAGGATCCTCCTGCAAGGTGAGCCATTCCCAACCCTCTGGGAACCAGGAAGGTGTCTGGGCACCAGGCTCTGTTAGCCACACACCTGCCTCCACATCAGCTGGGGCAGCGCCCCTTGGATCTGTTTTAGAGGAGCCCTCTGGCACTACTGACTTCACAGAGAGCTTTTGCTGCTAAGTACATTTGGAGGAGAGCGGAAATTCTGCCAATAATTGCCTGGATGGAAGACCAGGGCGAGGAAGGGCAGGAAGGGGCCTCCCAACCTGGGAGCTGAAGGGCTGGGGGCCAGGAGCCTTGGCTCCCTCATCTGTGATGGGGACTGAAAGAGCAGATTGGCCTGCAGGGTTCTTGTGACTATTAAAGGGGATGCTGTGCGCTCTTCTCTTAGAACTGAGCCTGGCAAAGGGCATGACCCACCATACAAGCATTCATGCCTAGAATACTTTACTGTGGGTGAAAGGAGAGATCTGGGAACCGGGGTCCCCCTGTGAAGTAGGAGCTCCCCTGAGTCCCATGAAGAAGCCCTGTCCAGCCCCTCAGCCACGGAGCCTCCTCACTCCTGTCACGCCCTCCTACCCCCCCCATCCTGAGCCCTTGGCCCTGTCTGGTGGGAGGCTGGGAACGCTGGGGCAGCCTGGACCTCCCACACCCGCTGCACAGTGGGCCCCTGTACTAGATCCCCCCAATCAACTGCTGCAGGGACCCCAGTGGCCCAGATGGCAGAGGACGCCGTGGACGCGGAGCGGCTGAAGCACCTCATCGTGACCCCCTCTGGCTGCGGGGAACAGAACATGATCGGCATGACGCCCACGGTCATCGCCGTGCACTACCTGGACCAGACGGAACAGTGGGAGAAATTCGGCCTAGAGAAGCGGCAGAATGCCTTGGAGCTCATTAAGAAGGGTGGGCCCAAGGCGCTGGCTCCTGGGAGGGCCCTCCCCTCCTGACCCCGCCCCTCCCCTGAGACCCCGCCCTCCTTGCAACGCCTCTCCCCAGAGCCCCTCCCCTCCTCTCTCAGATCCCCCAACCCTTCAGAGCCCTTGGCACCAGCATCCTGCCCCACCTGCGCCCTTCCCCTGAATGCCTGTCCCAGCCCAGAGGGCACCCTGCCCTTTCTGAGTCCCTCTCCAGTGAGTCCCCACTTCCACCAGACCCCCTCAGCTCCCTGGACACACCCGTCTCTTATTCTCTTACTCCTTCAGAACCCCATCCTCCTCTCAGCTCCTTTCCCTCTCCGACATCCCCCTTCCCCACCCTGAGTCCTCCTGCACTTGAGGAACTCTTTCTACACCCTGAATAACATCCTCGCTCCACCCTTCATTGGGGTACCCAAAAGGGCTGCGTTCCTCTGGTGACCACTCTCTTCCCTCAGGGTACACCCAGCAGTTGGCCTACAGACAGCCCAGCTCCGCCTATGCCGCCTTCACAAACCGGGCGCCCAGCACCTGGTGAGTCAGGGTGGTCAGCTTGGCCAGACTCCGCCCGGCACCTGGCAGAGTAGGGCCTGGGTTTCAGCCAGGGGTGCTCTAGGCCAGCAGGACACAAACAGCCCTGTGCGGCGCTTCCAGGGCGCTTCCACGGACGCAGCAGCCTTTAGTCAACCAAGTGACCTGCTCAGGTAGAACTTCATTAAACACTGACTTCCTGAAACTCTGGAGTCCTGGGGGTAGCCCAGCAACCGAGCCAGGCCCCGCCCCTCTCTTCTCATTGGGTAACTGGGATGGCAGGCTGCAAGCCCAGAGCGGATTGGTTCACTCTGTTTCCGCCCCCAGGCTGACAGCTTACGTGGTGAAGGTCTTCTCTCTGGCTGTCAACCTCATTGCCATCGACTCCCAGGTCCTCTGTGGAGCTGTTAAATGGCTGATCTTGGAGAAGCAGAAGCCGGATGGACTCTTCCAGGAGGATGGGCCCGTGATAGCACAACAAATGACAGTAAGAGATTGGGATTCACGGCAAGAGTGGGGGAGAGAGGCGTCTGGGAGTCACGGGAGGCTCATTCCCATCAGGACCCAATTCACTTTGTGCAAGTGGAAATGAGGGACAGGGGAAAATAATTGTGACTCCTATGTTGCAAAAGCCAGATCTTCAAAATGAAAGTGCACGACATCTTGTTGAGAAATAAATAAGAATTTCATTAAAGCAAAGGCAGGAGCCCTGATGGAGAGCCTGGGCATCTCCTCTGACGTCCTCTCTGATCCATCTCCACTGCTGCCCATTCCGCTACCTGGATGATGCTCAAAACTGGCCCCTTCCTCCCATCCCCAGCCTAGGAGCTGGTCCACATATCTCTCTCCTTCACCCTGAGACCTTGGAAAAGCTGTCCTGGTCATTGCCCTGCGGGCTTCACTCTTGTTAGCTCTCAGGTGTTCACCACCAATGCTTTTCAAATCTGACTGGATGTCTCCAAAGAAAGTCCTGAGGCTCCCCCTGTGTTTTTTTAAAAATTTTTTTAGTTGTAGTTGGACACAATATCTTTATTTTATTTATTTGTTTTTATGTGATGCTCAGGATCAGTCCAGTGCCTGGCACGTGCTAGGTGAGCACTCTACCGCTGAGCCCCAGCCCCAGCCCCAGCCCTTCCCCTGACTCTTAAATTCCACAGGGGAGTGGTTCTCAAAGTGTGATATTCAGACCCGCAAGAGCATCACCCACAAAGTTGTTGGAAATGAACATTCTGGGATAGCATCCCACACCTGTTGAACCAGAAATTCTAGGGATGGGGCCCTGGAATATGACTTCTAATAATCCCATCTCCCCAGGTGATGCTGAGGTATGCCCAAGATAGAGAATCAATGCCCTAGTCTGACCTCCAGGCTCCCAGCCTCACAGCCTGCCCTCTCCTTCTACACCCTACCCACACTGGTGAAAGACTGTTCAGTCCTGCCACAGGGGCTTTGCACAAGCTCTCACTGGTGCCCAGCATGCTAACCCCTGCACACTGAGAGTTGACACCTCTAAAGATCAGGGTGCCAGCTGTGCTCTCTCCACGATAGCTGTCCTGACCTCACAGGGTCACTGCCCCATAGTTCATTCACTGCTGTGTCCTATTCTGCAGAGCCTTCATAAGTCAGAAATTAATACAGGTGGTCCCTGACTTACCATGGTGCCACTTAGGATCTTGCACTTCACCATGGTGGGAAACCATATCCCACACCACGTTCCATTCTTCCCTTTCAGCACAGGTTGAATACAAGAAGGAGAAATTCAGCACTTGGTATAATAGCCTCGTGGGAGGGGCGTTACTGTGAGTGTCCCGAGCACAGTTCAGGCTAAGCTAGGATGTGTGGAAAGTCAGGGCACCGAATGAATTTTACATGATATTTTCCTTTTGCCATGGTTTGTTGGCATGTGAGTCCCTCGGAAGCTGAGGAACCTCTGTACCTACGGAGGAGCCTCTGGCTCCTGCCTCCTGTCCCTGTTAGACAAGAGGCTCAGGAGGCTGGAGCTGGGCCAGGTTTTCATGTACCCCTGTGTAGGCACAGCGCCAGGCGAGGGGTCGTCTGGTGACATTGCAGAATGAACAAATGATTGCAGTGATACATATGAGAGAGTCTGGCTGTCCCTGAGGGAAGGGAGCCCTAGGAGGAGCCCCAACCCTGTCCAGAGCAGGCTTGCCCTGTGTGGACACATGGTGACCTTGTCTCTGCTCTGCTCCCGTCCCAGGGTGGCTACCAGAACAGCGTGGAAGGTGATGTGGCCCTCACAGCCTTTGTTCTCATCGCCCTGCAGGAGGCTAAGGACATTTGCGAGGGGCAGGTCAACGTAAGTGCCCTCCTCAGAGCCCCCTGTCCCAAGCTGGGGAATGTCCACCTGGGAGGGGAGGCTCTGCCTTGGGGGGGTCGCCAGAGCCCTGCACCTGCTACCTAGTAAATCACCCCATACTTACTCCGTGGAGGGCTTGGCCAGATCGCCACGACCCTCGGGCATCCCTGTTGTCATCTCTCAGGGTTTCAATGGTCAGCAAGTGGATATACAGCAGGCACGCAGGAAGTGAGGGCGATGGCAAGGAGAAGGAGGAAGGGGGGAGGACGGCGGGGGGGCGGGCTCCTCCAGGCTGCCTGCTGAGTCGGACTCCTCCTCATGTCTCCTGCCTGTTCAGAGCATCTTTTCCCAACACCTGATTCAGTGGTGTCACATTGGCAGCTTGACATTGACCTTGGGGGGCGATTTGCACCACCAATCAGTACAAACCAGGGCTCCCCCAGCCTTTGCAGGAGAGGGCTCCTTGATAACCTCCCAGCACACCACTGACATGGGACGCTCAGGTACATGGCAGCTGTTCAGTCACAAGGCGCTCACAGGTGGCCAGGAGGTCTGGGAAACACTGAAAGCACAGATCCAAGACAGAGGTCCCAGGACAGACAGTATCCTGACGCCCCAGGAGTGGCGCATGCAGGATGCTGACCATGGCTGTGGTGGCGACCACCTACCAGAGTGCCCGCCCCTCTGTCCCACAGCTCCTGGGAGATAGCATCTCCAAGGCAGGAGACTTCCTGGAATCCAGATACCTGAACCTGCAGAGGCCCTACACCGTGGCCATTGCTGGCTATGCCCTGGCCCAGATGGGCAGGCTGAAGGGCCCCCTCTTTGAAAAATTCCTAAACACATCCACAGGTGAGGGGCAGCCATAAGGAGGGGGAGGGATGCAAGACTGGGTTGAAGGGAGAATACCTTGAGCTGTGATGTGTGGCTCTAATTCCATTGTCATTGCAAATCACAGAAGAAGGCCCTTGCCTGGCTCACTCAGGGAGGGGTAGGGAGCACTGGGTTGAAGGGCGGAGTCAGAGCCCACAGAGCAGAGCAGGGCTTGAATGTTGGCCTGCATATTAGACCTCAGTGCCTCGCAGGCAGGAGTCTCTTTCTGAGCTTTCCCTGGGCCATCCCCAGGCTGCAAGGACAGTGAGCCTGGGGGCTCAGAGTGTCCTCTTTGCAGATAAGAACCGCTGGGAGGAGCCAGACAAGCATCTCTACAACGTGGAGGCCACGTCCTATGCCCTGTTGGCCCTGCTCCTGCTGAGGGACTTCGACAACGTGCCCCCCGTGGTGCGCTGGCTCAATGAGCAGAGATACTATGGAGGCGGCTATGGCTCCACCCAGGCAAGCGCCCCACCCCTGGGCTCCTGCACCCTACCTCCTGTAGCCTGCCACCGCTCCCAGACAGGTCTCTGAGACCCAGGCGGGAGGCTCCTCTGTCCCACCAGCAAGGGGCTGGAGAGGAGCAGAGAACCCAGGTTCTCTTGGGTACACACCCTCCTGGGGGTCCAGACTTCATTCCAGAAGCTCCAGGCTTTGAGCGGAGCCTCTGCTCTCTGTGCTGTCCATTCCGTGTCCTCGGGGCTCCAGCTCAGGAGTGAGCCCCCCTCTTCCCTTGGTGGCTCCTGATCCACGTTGCCACTTCCACCAGGCTCCCGTTCTGAAGCGGGCTCTCCCTTACTCCAGGGCACCGTCCAGGCCCTGTCCCTCCTACACCACGTCCAGGGCCTTCTACACCACGGTTCAGTGACTGCAGGATCCAGCCGCCCAGGCTCCAGCTTGAGCCTCTTTCTTTCTGGGGGGCTCTCCATTAAAATCCCAATGTCGCTTCACAGTGTCACACTCGGATTCAGCATCCTCAGGCTCCGAGGAGGTCCTTTCTTCCATGACTGCGTTCTAGACACATTTCTGGTCCCTAAGTCCTGGTCTAAGAATGTCTCCTCTGGATAGG